TAAAAAAAACTCGATTTCGGCAAGATGGGCAAAAAACGCCGAAAGAAAGACGATCCCCTTTATATCGTCAGTTGAAGGGGATTGGGGGTGGGGTTTTGCAGTGGATGTTTTAAAAATCGTCCAGAAAGTGGATGTATCTAGTGGACCTGTAAGGCCGTGTCTCACTAGCACTTTTTCCGCAGTTTCCACGGAAATCGTGGTCATTTTGGCTCGCGCAGTCACACTAGCGATGAGAACCACGGAAACAGTCCGACCAAAATTCTAAACACAGAAAGATGGGTTCAACCCCCGCACAAGCTCTGGCGTTGATGGACGTTATTCTGGCTATGTGGCGACGATTTAATGCGAAACAACGAATGTATGATGCTAAATAAGGGCTTATTCTCGCTACTCTCATCTAGTCAGCTGACGGGGACAAATGTAAACAAACAGGCGAGCAGCTAGTTACAAACTTGTATCGGTTTTTATTAAATACAAAAGAGAATTTTGCCAATTTAAAAATATTATTTACAGTTTAGAGTGTCTTTTTGAATCGTTTTTAAATTATAAGTGCTTTTTTTTGTTTTTGTTTTTTTACATTACTATAACGATTATCTATTATAGCTTATCATTTGAACGAAAAAGACAACGGAAACTTGCCAGCGAAAACGAAAATTATCGTTTGACTGGAATTTATCGCATTCACCCAAAATACAAGTGGTAGCGAGAAAAAACCACGGAAACGTCAAAGAACCACGGAAATTGTGCTAGTGTGATACCCCCTTTAACATTGCTGATAAAAATCTTCGTCTTAATTACTCAAATGCAATATCATTCTGTTGCGATTCTGCTCAGCAAGGTGCCCTCTTTTTTTTTTTTTTTTTTTTTTTTTTTTTGTGAATTGTTATTATACCTTTCATGATTTTTTCTGCTTGACATCATTTGGTCATGGTATGTGTTGGCAGCTATTTTGGACGTCATCCTGAATTCTCGAGTTAGGTCAAAGAAAGTTTTTTGGAAACTTTTAACATGTTCACGACGGTATTCTGGGCCATTCCTGAAAAAAGTCTAATCATGAAATCAAATAGGGACGGTCATCGTGACGTCACCAGAGCTGTCACGTGATCAATCGGAGGCAGTGGTGGGCAAAAACAAAATCCCACAAACTCCGTTATAAAGTATTGATCTGTCGCGAACATCGTCCCTTTTTTCGATTTATATAAGATTCGCATCCTTGTTCACCGTTTTCTAATAAACTTTTACATGGTAAACAGTTGCATTATTATTGGATGTACAAGTGGACAACAAAAAGGCTCAACTTTGAGTTTTAATTGTTTTCCAAAAGACCCCGAGAGCAGGAGGCTTTGGCTATCAATCGCAAGAACTTTGATCCTGCACCTGAGAGTGATGTAAGAGTTTGTGCTAATGTTACGTGCGATAACTTTTCTATAAAGATATTCTAAAATTTAAACCGTTATGTTATACCGTCATATCTCTTCCTAGGGGATGTATTTCCTCGTGGTTAGGCCTAGGCCTAGGCGGTGGTAGATGTGGGTAACTGATTACTATTGAGTATCTTCTTACGCTTTTAATTTCAGTTAATTTGATTTTAAAACTTTCCCTGAACAAAGGTCGTAAGACATTAAATGAGAACAAAATGAAAATATTAAACCTAATGACTGTTACACTGCCCTCTTAATAACTTAAGGATATTTGCTTAAATCTTTTCAAGGTATCAAGGTGAATATTGCGTGGAAATGTAAATCTAACCTTTTAGAAAAGTGGCTATAACGTCCGAAAAATATTGATAAACCCTGTTTTGAGCAACTTTTCGAAAAAATAGGCCTAAAATGCAAAGAGCGAGCAAGAAAGAAATTCACAAATTCAGAGAATTTAATCCTACGACTATGAACCACTTACTATAGGCAGTATTGAGTACTTACTTGTACCCTTCCAGAGATTTGTAGGCCTTTAATTCTTTTTGTGTAAATACTAGGTGTTTGCATAAAGGTCGGTCAACCAAACAATTAGTATGGCCCAGCAAAAACAGATAGCTGTATTCTGATTTTTTCTGATGTTGAATACTAAATTCCATTATTATGTTTTATTTTACAACTTAAGAAAAATACTTGAAAGCTTCTAGTAATTTGCAGGCTTTCAACTCCTTTTCTGTGTAACTACCCGACGTGTATATTAGGCAGAGATAAATATCACCAAAACTAACATCGGATCAACCACTATGGCTTTCAAACCAGCCACCAGAGATTAGAAAGGATCTTATAAGCTTTCTGTACCTTTTTAGAATACTTATATTTTTCACCATAACGATATTTGCAACTAATCGAGAGATCTGTAGTAGGTTGACATCGTTCTCACAGCTGATTCATTATCATTGTTGATCTTTTGCCCACCAGTGTTATGCGCATGCGCGAAAAAGCGTTTTGTTTTTGTTTTAACCCTATAGGGTTACAACCTATTACCCATAGACCATGACATCATGAGAAATAACTGTGTGATATTG